TTTTTCTTTTTTTTTAAATTTCCTTTGCCTAGAAAGATGATTGGAACATTGTAAATATTTAGCTGCTTGGTGACTTAATGACTAAGGCCCCTGAAACTTAGAAATTATACACCATAATGATGGGAGTTGGTCTTTATTGAGTTCTTACTGTGCTAAGTGCCTATACGTCTTTACTTATTTAATCCTCCAGTCAGTTCTATGAGGGCAGGTACAATTATGACTTCCATTACACAGAGGAGAAGAGAAAAGCTCTGGAAAGGTAAAAACACCCAGTCAAACACAGAGCTGCCCAGTCCAGAGCCTGTGCTCAAACTATTAAATATCACAACCATTGATTACGTGTGCCCACTTCAAATAATTAAAATTAAACAAAATTTAAAATTCAGTTTCTTGGTCCCATTGGTCATATTTCCAGGGACTAACACAGGTGTGGTTAGTGGTTACCATCCTGGGTGGTGCACTTATACGACATTTCTGTCATCACTGCAAGTTCTATCGCACAGCATTGCTCTAAGTCACTGAGATACAGCCCGTCGCTATATCAAATGAAATATGTGATTTTGAATGTTTGATTGTCCTGAAACATATCAAAGCACACCCAGCTCTTCCTCTTTCCGAGGCAGGAGTGTGGGTTCAGGACGGCCTGCATCCATGGGGTCTTCTGAAAGGTGGAACACTCTCAATGGAAGAAGCACGGTTGTACAGGCCAGTGCTGACCCTTGTCCAAATAGATCTGGTCAGTATGGTGACTTTTGCGGGGAGGGTTGTGCGGCTGGATTATGTAGCCCTCTGTGACACCTCCTGCAGCTGACAGCACTCCTCCTTCGAGGACCTGCATGGGTGGTTCTGGGGCCTTGTGCTTTTCCTCTCCGATAAAGCCTTAAGCATATCCTCCACTTAAGGTCACATGTGCTGCTTGTTTCCTGAAGCTCAGAGGAGAGAGGATAGCAAGAACAACAACAATAAAATAACATTTAGTGGGCTGGGGATGTGGCTCAAGGGGTGATTTGCTCACCTGGCATGAGCGGGGCTCTGGGTTCGATCCTCAGCACCACATAAAATAAAGATGTTGTGTCCACCGAAAACTGAAAAATAAATATTAAAAAATTCTCTCCTCTCTCTTCTAAAAAAAAATAAATAACATTTAGTGACTACATACTGTATACAGGCACTCAGAGCTGTTTCACGGTCTTAGTCAATTCTTGCAAGTGGGTCCTGTTAGTCCCAGTTCATAGATGACAAAGCTAAGACCTGGTGAAGGGGGTTGGCTTGCCCAAGGTCACACAGAAGCATTGGTAGAACTGAAACACAAGCTCTGACTGGCTGAGTTCTACCTCCTCATCCCTATGATACAGTCTGGTAACCCTTCCCTCCACATATGCTTTCCTCTGGAAATGTCCTGAGTTGGAGGAGAGGAGAATGGCCCAAGCTAAACAAGCAAGCAAGCCTGCTGCCAGTGGTGAGCGTCCTCCACCCGCACAGGCCTGTGGCCTTGGCCGCTTTCCCATGTGGGAGAGATGAGCTGCTGGGGCTGAGGAAGCTGTAGCAGAGGTCTTCCGGCTTGCCCAGCTGCAGAGGTGGGCCTGCTCCTCTGAGCACAGCCTGTGAGGGCTGCCCTCCCCCATGTCTTCCTTAGGGACCAGAGCACATGGTTCCCCCTGGCCTGGGGTGGGAAGGAGGGCTTTCAGGAGACCCCTCTGACAAAAAATAAACAAAAAAACACGATGTAGCAAGAGGGGAAAATCCCGGGCCAGTCACACAGCCTTTGGTTTCTTAGGGGAAACCACAATAAACTCACAACTTGGGATGGCAGAACCCGCAATGCACTGGGTGTGGCCCAGGGCCATCTTGGCTGCCAATATCTATATTGGCATAAGACACCCCTGCCAGAATCTTCTGCTTGTAGCCATTAGCTCTCTCGTGACCCCTGTATGAGTGACAGTGTCATCAGTGGCCCTGTGGAGGGAACATTCTGGGAGGCAGTGCTGAGGGAGGGGGCCACCAGCTCTGCCCTCAGCAAGCTTCCAGCCTTATCCTCATAGAGATGTGACATGACACCAGCTGGCCGAGGTCACCCTCAGCCCTGTCCATCCCCTGCTCCCCAGCTCCCAGGCCTTCCTGTGGGCCAGCTGCCTCCCACCTAGGGTCTTGGCAAGGGAGGGTGACTGAGAGGGAATGTGGGGGCATCTTGTGAGGAGAACTCTATGCAGCAGGAATAGGAAGGCCTTGCTGGAAGCCACTCTGCCCTCTACTGACCAGCTGCCGGGTCAGGGGGGAGGCTTTGGCAGCTCCGGGTTTCTTAGCAGCCAAAGGCAGCTCCTCCAAACCTCAGCTCCCAGCTCGTCCCCTCTGGCCGCCTTCTCGCCTCAGCCTGGTAGGCCCCCCCCTTTCCAGGCCTCTGCAGCCCAGGGGCTAGCGGTGGGTAGGGAAGCTGCCAATGAATTTCTGTCTCTGAGGTCTATGGGACTTGGACACACGGCTTGGCAGCAGCCCTCTGAAACATGGCTGAGAGAAGGTGCAGTCTCACAGCTGTACCCCTGGGGGCCACCACTTGCTTCTGTGGTTGGCCCTCACAGAAACCTCCAGAATGCTTTTCCCCTGAAGCCAAACATGTTCCTGGGGTCCATTCCTTAGCTATTAGGTCACTGGACAGTCTCCAGGGACTAGCCCTAGTGCTGCTTCTTCCCATAAAACAAAGCTATAAACTGTTACTCCTGCCCTCCTCTGTCTGTAGGCCCCACAGGCTCCAGTGGGAACACCTACCAAGGCTAATGTCAAAAATAGCCAGAGAGTCCAGCAGAGGAAATTCAACTTCTGGGGGCTGGGGCTGGGGCTCAGTGGCAGAGTGCTTGCCTAGCATGTGTAAGTGACTGGGTTCGATCCTTAGCACCACCTAAAAAATAAACAAATAAAATAAAGGCATTCAGTTCACCATCATCATCATCATCAACAACAACAACAACAAAGAAATTCAACTTCTGCACTGTTACCTCCCATCTCTCCAGGCTGGGGGAAGGAGGAGGGAGACTGAGGCTAGGTCATAGAAGGACTTGATGAAGCCCTGCACCAGGTATGGATCATACACACTGGCACTGGGGATTTTCACCCACGTCCCTAGGACACATAATAACACCATGCTAGCTTTACAAGTGAGGGAACCAAGGCTTAGAGGGTTAGGCACTTTCCTAGAGCCACTCTGCAGAAGGGACAGCGTGATTCCACCTCTGGCCAGTGGCATCCTTTCCCCTCCTTTTCTCTCCCCTTCCCCCTGTGACCAGCATCCAAGGGCTTTGAGAGTGAGCCTGGATCCTGACCACAGAGATCCACAACTGAAAGCTGCTAGTCCCAGAAAGGGTTAACTTGGAGCCCGTGGGCTGTCATGCCGGCTGTGACAACTTGGGAAGTTCCCTGGCCTCACTAGCCTTGTTCTCTTCATCATTAAAGTGGGTCTAATGATAGCACTTATGTTACAGGGTTGACATAAAGATTGATGGGTTGGTCTCCAGGGACTAGGAGACCAGTGTCTGGCACAGGATGCACTTAACACTTCCCAGTACTGGAGTTGTTATTGTGATTGACATCATCCCAGAACCAGAGGCTCTGAATCCTCTCTCCCAGCCCTTTCTTGCTCTTGGTGGTGACAGTTCAGTTACCAGGAGCCTTGGCCAAACATCAAGGGGGTTGGATGCTGACTCGCATTTTATGTGTGTGTTTCCCATTTCATGTGTGGCACAGAGGTCAGGCGGACTGTGACTTACCTCAGCCTCTGGCATGGGAGTAAGAATGGTCACCAGTGTGTCTGGACAGGATCTGACCACTCCCTGTTCCCTGTCCCTCACTCCTTAGCCTCTTTTACTTCTCAGATTCTGTTTTCTGTCAGGGGAACAAGGCTGTGGTGGACGGGGCTAAAGGTCCTATCATGGGGGAGAGCTGCCTGTCCTTTGATTCAGAGCTGCAGCCAGGCCTGGATCCCAGGGAAGACCAGAAAGGAGCATGGAGGGCTGAGGCTCACCATTCCCTTTCTAGAAACCACCTTCCTACCTTGGATTGGACAGTGGGTGTTTGGGACCCACTGTAGACTGACCCACAGCTTAATAATGTCTCCATGGCTGCGGTGAGGGAAACAGAGTGAAAGAGGTTGGGCCTCCCTGGGCCCCCAAATAAATCTTTGGGAATGTAACAGGCTAAACCAGAAGGGTACTTCCTTCTCTTTTCCTACCTTTTAAGTAGCTCTGCTCAAGTGGCAACATGTATCAAGGAATTATTATTATTATTATTATGTCCATTTGGGATATAATTATAGCAGCTCCAGAAGCTAAGTCTCACACCCTTGGCACTGCTTGGGAAATTAGGCATCATCCCATCCCGCCTCCCTCCATGCTCCCTTCTCTCTCCCCCTCCAGAAGCCAGCCAGTTGCATTCCACCCCATAGACATTTATGAGAATTCCCTGGCTCTGGGCCAGCAAGATCATTTGGCCTCCCTCCCTCTCCCTGATGCTATTGGAAGGCTCCTTGTCTCAGAGCTGCAACCTCCACTGGGTCCAAACCCAGCAATTCCTGGGGTTGGAGCCTGGGAAGCTAAGATCTTTGGTTTAGAGGGCCTTGGTCTGGCACCTGAGTTCAGGAGCCAAGGGACCGGAGTTCATGACTGGGCAGGGTGGAAGAAACCTGGGTGTGCAGGGGACTTTGCAGTGCATTCACAGACTGGGCACTGTTTCTGGAGACTTCTTTTAGCTCTGCAGTCCTCCTGGGGGTTAAGAAAGGCAATCCCAGAGATGTTGATCAGGCACTGACAGGGTCCTGGGCTGGCCTCTGGCTGGGAAGTCTCACTGCAGAATTACCTAGTAGGGAAGTCATCTTGGTTACAAATTAGCTTCTTGGTCATTTGTTGTGAATGTGGTGAGCAGCACCAGGGATGTGGAGATAAGGTAGCAGCTTCCCCACCCAGTGGCCCCACAGTGGAGATACCGGTAACCTTGTTTTCCTTCCCGAGGTGGGAAGGAGAGGCGGGGTGGAGAGGGTGCCTGCGGCCCTGTCTCTTTGTAGGAACACATCCCAGGAATGCCTGCAGCCTGTGAGATGGCCGGCCACTGGAAAGCTACATGTTTCCCACCAAGATTCTGAAGATGTGGCGTTGGGGACAGCCTGTAGCCCCATTTTTCCATGGCTCTACTGTTTTTTCCAAGTTCTCCTGTGACAAAATTATTTCAGAGTTATGTCTTTGTACTCCTTTTTCTTTCCACTGACTCTATTTCCATGTAATCAAATCACCCAAGGGATTCGGCTCGTCTATAAGGTAAAGAATGCCCCCAGGTTATGGGACAACACACCCCAAATGATGATCTGAGTTGCTAGAAAAGAAACCTGAGGCTGACATTGAGTACGACATCTTCTTTTTCACCACCCAGAGAAACTACAAAGAACCAGGTAAGGAGAGAGTTCAGTCAGCTGCATAACGTGTCTGCAGGGCCCAAAACTTGTTTTATTCTTGATCCTCTTAATTTCTGACTTTTTCAGATCCCTCTTCTCAACATGAATCCTTCTGTGTTCTTGGCACCTGAAGTTTCCAGGGTTTTTAGGTGACAGATTTACCCAGGGGCAGAAGATGCACTGGGGTCACAGGAGGGAGATGGCCACTCCTAGGTGCTGATTTGATGTGAAATGGACCACAGGCTAAAACTGAGTTCTGCCTGGGGTGGCTTGAAGCAGTACAGAAAGGTCCTGAAAAGTTATGTTCTTCATCTGTTTTGCACTGCTATAGCAGAATAAATACCATTGGGTAATTTCTAGAAAACAGAAATTTATTTGGCTCATGCATCTGGAGGTTGAGAAGTCCATCTGGTGAGAGCCTTCTTGTTGTATCAACATGGCAGAAGGCATCATGTGGTGGGCAAGAAGGGATCAAATTTGCTTTTATAACAAACCCACCCCCTTGATGACAAATCCCTCTCCTGATAACAGAATCAACCCACCCACAGAGCCCTCGTGATGGACTCACCTCTTAGAGGTACCAGCTCTCACTGGGATTAAGTTTCCAACATCTCGATTTTGGGAGGCACATTGAAATGACTGCAGTGACATTTGGACTGGGCATTAAAGGATGAGAAGTTTCCCTAATGTATGAGCTAAAGGGGGGTCCTATGGGCCAGGTGGAGTTGCTAGAAAGAGCATGGAACACCCAGTTAAGTGTAAACTTCAGGCAAATAGTAAAATAATTTTTTTTTTTGATACCAGGGATTGAACCCAGGGGCCCAGGGGTGCTTAACCACTGAACCACATCCCCAGTCCTTTTTATATTTTATTTAGAGATAGGTTGCTTAGGGCCTCACTAAATTGCTGAAGCTGGCTTTGAACTTGTGATCCTCCTGCCTCAGCTCTCAGACCTCTGAGACTACAGGCGTGGGCCACCATGCCCAATGAGTAAAATAATTTTATTACATGTCCTCACTATTACATGCAATCTGCTTATACTAAAAAGGTGTCTATTATTTATCTGAAATTTGAAGTCAACTGGACATCTGGTATTTTGATTTACTTAATCGGACAATTCTAGGAAACAGCAGGAGCAAAGACAGACACAAGGTCTTTGTGGGAAGGAGGAGCGACAAGGTGGTGATCAGCTGCACAGCCTTGGGCCCATCATCAGCATGCTTGCTTTTATTGGTAGGTCCTGGCTTGGCTCAGGATCACAGAATACCTGCCAGCAAATGTCAACACTCAGGTTGTTGCTTTTAGCTATAGTTCTAGTTCATTCTTCCAGAACTACTTCATCACCAGCTGGAGAAATCCAGTTTCAAGTATTCACAATTTCTTCTTTTCTTTCCCAAGCGTCTGCAGACAGCCCGTTTTCTTGGGCCAGTTTCCATTCAATCCATCCGGAATGCCATTATTGAATGCCAGTCACATACCAGGCACTGTGTTTGGCATGGGGATACAGTGGCACATGGAACAGTCATAACCCTTGACCACTCGGAACTTACAGCATACACCTTGTAAAACATTGGCAGAATATGTGATGGGTGGGAATAGATAGTAAAAAAAAAAATGCACATACACATATACAACCTAAATTTCTCCTTTCTTTCTCTCCCTCGATAGCTATTTCAGAGAAAGGAAATTTCAGAACCAGAATCCTGCTCTGGAATTCCAACTCCTGCATTTCTAGCATGGAGCTAGAACAATTGAGTTCTCAAAGTCCTCTCTTGAGGCCGGGGTTGTAGCTCAGCAGTAGAGCGCTTGCCTAGCACGTGTGAGGCGTTGGGCTCAATCTTCAGCACCACATAAAAATAAATAAATAAAATAAAGCTATTGGGTCCAAGTACAACTAAATATATATGTATTTAAACATATATATATTTATTTATATATATATTTTAAAAATCCTCTCTTGTTCCGTCTCAATGCATTGGATTGAGAAGTTCCTGGGACAGAGTGCTGTTGGAGGATATGGAGGAAGGAGCTTTGTTCTGCCCTGACTGCCCCTGGCCAGTCAAATGCTAGTCTGGTGAGGCACATAAAGGATGCACTAAAAACAAGACCATTCCCTCAATCCAAAGCCACCTCTAATACAAATATTTAGTTAGAAACACAAATCAGTAGAAATAACACCATTATTTCTGTTCAGACTAATCATGGCCTCAGGAGCATGTGCTTTGTACTGAGTATTTCACATACATGCTCCTATTTAGCATGTGCCCCAGAACAATCCTGTGAGGTTAATATATTATTAGCTCTACTTGATAGTTGAAGAAATGACAGCTCATTGAGTATGGGTAATTTGCCCAGAATCTGACAGTTGGCCAGTAGCTGGGCCAGGACTGAAGTTGAGCCTGCGAGACTACAGCCTTCACACATCCATCATCCTAAAGACCTGGAGAGATTGTACCACCAGAGTCTGATATTGCCAATGAGTAAATGGAAATGTGTGTTTTTCACAAGTGTGTTTGTAATTCACAGCAGGGAACTGGTCTTTCACAGGCTAAGGGCAGTCATTGGGCCAGAAGACTTCATGTAACCAAATTTAGCTCAAGGGTGGAAATATAATTGTGTTTTTACCATCATTGGAGAATCTTCGTCTGGTTAGGAATCTCCAGAGCAGTAATTCTCAAAGTGTGGTCCCAGACCAGCATCCTTTCCTGGGAACTTGATAGAAACAAGTTCTGGCCTCACCTGCAATTTTTACTGAATCAGAAACTCCTTACTTTCCAGGCTGAGTTTCTAAGGCCTGGGCTTTGTCAATGAGGCAGGAAGCGTTCCTAAGGGGTTTGTTGCTGGGACCAGTACTCGCTCGGTCTAGTTCCTGGCATATGACAGATACTCAATATATGTATTTCTGATAAATGAATAAATGTCATTCAAAGTATCACCCATATTTCTGTTACCATGTCAGAGGGAGAATGTCACTAGGTTAATACCTTGTCTCAGCCATAATGTCAGAGTCCTCAGGGGCTCAGGCAGTTCAGAAGCACCCTGAAGAGCAGAAGGATGAAATTTTCTTTTTACTTAGGTCTCAGGATGCATGCAGACCTTGAGGGCTTTCACCAGCTTTCTGATCTTTGGAACTTCAAGCAGGGGATGTTAAAAGTGTTGAAAGTTATCACAGGGCTAACTGACTTATCTAGTGGTGTGCTGACAAATCTACTCTCTGGACAGAAAGCCCTGCCTGATAGCATTTTCTGATTCCTGTGGTGTAAACACTTCCATGATGGCTCATGGATGTGCATGATTGGCTCTCATGGGCCTGCTCCAGCACACCAAAGCCATGCCAACCTTAGTTAGTAACTTGTTTAAAAGACCAATTATTTTTAAGGTATACAAGTAATAAATATGCATGGCTGAATATCAAAGAACAGATGGTCTAAAATAAAAAATCTCCTTCCAGCATCCCAAGTCCTCTATGTCCAGTGGATTATGTTTTGTTCTACTTACGGTCCTTCCCAGAGATCCAAATTGAAATTCAAGTGGCGAGTATTGGTCTATCATCCTCAATGTCCACTGATGGCTGGGCTTGGAAGACTAAGGACCCACCTCACTTCTAACACTGTCCACTCCCCAACAGGTTCCCCCTACAACCTGGCTATTATATTTCACTGTTCTTCTATTGGTTATGTTTATATCTTTGAATAACAATAGCCAGTGATAGCAGTCACTCTTTCTGAACGGGTGCTTCTCTAAGTTCTTTAGATATGTTAAAGATTGAATCCTCACAGCAGCCCTTTGAGGTAGGTACTATTTACATTCCCATTTTATAAGATGAGAAAGCCGAGGCATGGAGAGGTTAAGTAACGTGCCCAAGCTAGTAAAAGGCAGAGACAGGATTCAAATGCAGACAGCCTGACTCCAGAATCCATGTCTTTATCCTCTCAGAGAAAAGTTATAAGTGTTATTTACTCAATGTGGGGGGACAGTTGTAAGGGGGGGGGGGGTGACAGTACCAATATAAATAGTTCAGCAAGCTGTAGCCTATTTGTTTTTATTGCTCTTAGAACAACCAAGCCAGGGAAAGGGTAACGTCTATACAAGCCTGCTTCTGCCCCATCAGATAGGCGGAGAGAGTTGCCTGTGAAGATCTTCTGAGCTGGAATGGCTCTGGGCCCTGTCCACCCTTAGAGATATGCAAGATGGAAGTTGCTAATGGTCTTCTGTCAAAACCTCATTAGTATTTGCATATGAAGGTAACTTAATGAAGGTGTGTCTACATGTGTACTTTTATTCCCACCCATTTATTATGCTTGGTACTTGGTAGGTGCCTTTTAATTTTTTAGTTTTTTGATACCAGGGATTGAACCCAGGGGGCACTTAACCACTGATCCACAATCTTAGCCCTTTTTATTTATTTATTTATTTTTATTTCTGAGGCAGGTTCTTGCCAAGTTGCTCAGGACCTTGCGAAGTTACTGAGGCTGGCTTTGAATTTGCAATCTTCCTGCCTCAGCCTCCTGAGCCACTGGGATTACAGGCATTGTGCCCAGCTGGTAGGCCCCTTTTAAACTGAAATTTTTGAGACTTTTTTCAGATTTTTTTATTTTGCTGTTTCTCTAATACTTTCTTCCCTTCATTTTCTCCAGTTTTGGAGTTTGGGCTTCTTAGATTTGGTCTGCTTAGATTGATTGTCCATTTCTGTCTTTTTGGATTATATTCTAGGAGACTTTTGATTTGTCTTTTTCTTATAGTCCTATTGTTAAATATTTTATATTAATAATGTTGATTTTAGGGCCAGGCATGGTGGCACAGATCTGTATTCCCAGCAACTCAGGAGGCTGACACAGGAGGATCACAAGTTCAAAGCCAGGCTCAGCAATTTAGTGAGGCCCTAAGCAACTCAGGAGGACCTTGTCTCAAAATAAAAAATAAAAAAGGGCTGGGGATGTGGCCAAGTGGTTAAGCACCCCTGGGTTTGATCCTTAGTATAAATAAATAAATAAATAATTTTTTTTTTAAAAAAGTAGTGGTAGTTTTAATTTCCAAGAACTTTTCTTCTACTTTGTTTCTTTCCCACATCAACGTGTTTTGGGTTATTAGGTACAATCTGTATCTTCTTGGATTGCCCCAAAGTCCCAAATTAAAATTATCTTGCAGTTCTCTAAATTAGCTATTATTTCCTTTGGGCCAGTTTTTCTGGTTTCTTATCTTGATGTGACTTCTCCCTGATTTTTGGGTTCTTTGAAGTCAGATCACATTCAGCACTCATTTGTTCTAGTCACTTTCATTGAACCTCTGCTCTTCTCTGGGAGGCTCTGGGTCTGGGCTGGTGATGTGACAATGTTTGCTCTGTTCCTGTCCCCATGGATTATC